TGTGAGTTTAGCGATATTAGATCAAAATTAGACCATTTTGTTGCATGAAAGCTAATAGGGAAACAGCTGCTTTTTATAAACTCGCTTCTCTTTTTTTAGTCAAAACCCAAACAATTTTTTCCCTAACTCCAGCTACAAATTTTTTGAAACCAGAAAATAGCAAATTGTTTTTAAGTTGTGTAATTACAATTTTGTTTTTGGTTGTGGACAGATTTTGCGACAATTTTTTTTAGTCGCGCAAAGTTGTTTTTTTTTAAGCCGCTCGCACATTTTTTTTTTGTTTTTATTGTACTCGCAAACGCATTTCCGTTGTCTGCTTAATATTGGTTAAACAGATTTTTAAACGCGACAGAAAGAATCGTGGTCGCAATGGATTGGTAAAATATCACGATCGCCCCAAACCTGGTAGCATATAAGATACAAATTTGAGATTTAAATCCGCAATTTTTCATAATTTTGTATCACACACTGAAAAATACTCTGTACATCCCTGAGACAACCCTGATTAGACTTATAGTTGTCGATAAGAGCTAAGGTGATCAATTTCAAACTTTTAATTTTTGATTTCAAGAATTTTCTGATTGAGCGTTGGCTTGAAATTTAACTGAAACTTCAAATATGCTGGAAAGAAAAGTTTTTTTTAAGAAATAGAAAACAAACTGTTGAAATATATCACATTAAAAAGAAAAAAAGACTGCTCGTATATCAAAATAAAGCTCTGATTGTTCCGACTATCCATTTTTAGCTTTCAATTGCATATTATAAGCACTTGACATTGTGGTAAGGCGTTCTTCTTAAATGTGCCAGAAAACCGTATTATTGATCTCTGCCATGATAATGATAATGTGTGAGGACGCGCTTTTACTGGAACTCTAGCTTCACGTCTACCACAGCCTAGCCGATTTCGGCTGCACAACTGGCACTACGTGTAAATTCTGTAGGCCAAAAAATACAACAAATAGCTTCGCTCGACAAAATCACTCAGGCTGGATAAGAGAAACGGAATGTGTTTAGACAGGCTGGATAGTTTTTTCATAGATCCTCTGCGTGTTGCAAAAAGCACAGTTTATATGATTATTATCATACTTTTTGATTAACACATCTTTGTTAAACTACAAGTTTTGGACTGTTAATATCAAGTATAAAGATGTTAATAATTGATTTGTATAAGGAAATGGCCCTTTGTGTACCTGCTTTCAATTTAGAAAATTTCGTTAGCGTGATAATAAAATGTCGAGACTAGCGTGATAATCAATTGTCGAAACGTAGCATTTAGCATATGTGCCTCTGAGCATGCGATGATTACTTTTAAGGTGTTCGTATGGAAGAAAATTAAATCAACCTAACTTCTTAGCTCATATGATTTTAAATCAGAAAAAAAAATTTCACTCACTTTAAAAT